ATTAAAATGTGCACAGTAAAGACATTAAATGATTAAATCTTTTCACTACCAACCAATGCACCACAAGTGCCCCTGTTGGTCATTTTGGCCAGCCAATCCCTTACCGCGGTGCCCTGCGGTGGCTTGTGGGTAGGTTACTGTACTGCGGGTTTTTACCGCGCATTTTGAATGGCTGCATCTGTATGTCAGACTAAGGAAAGCAGTTGTGAAACTGAAAGCAGGGGCAGTGGGACAACACAAGTGGATCAATGCTTGGATGTGGGACTTCACACAGATCAGGTTCCAGGTCTCAGGTTTCTGGTTTCAGCTGTCAGAATCTTTTGGGTTTTCAGAATTTCAAGCTGGCTCATCTCTCAGAGCAGAGATAGAGAGAAGCGCTTCCTGAAAAAAGCTCATAATGTCAGAACACTGATCAATGGTGTGATCATTATTAAACAGAGGAGAACAACATAAAATAGCATTCTGCTCAAATATAAATGTAGATACTAAATTTTAAAATTAGAAATGTTGCAACATCTTTAATTAAAACATTTTTGGTTACAACCTATTCATTCAGGTGAAGTAATACAGATAAAAGATGAAAGTATACATGATAAATATCTGCCTCATTTTTTGTGTTATATAAATTGAACAGAGAACCCTTAATTAAAACATTACTGTAGGATTAATAGAATGCATTGTCTATTGGGGTTCTTGAATAAAAGTTCATGTCAAGGTCAAATTTTAATCTCCTGCTTCTGCTTCCCTGTGCATAAAGATAGATAGATAAGACTTTATTGATCCTTAAGGGAAATTGATGTGTTATAGCAGTCCAGCCCAAGACAAGCAAAAACAGACATCAGAATAGATTAAAAGTTATACAAAATAAATATAAAATAAATACATAGGTGTGTGCAAAAAATGATGATCATAGTCACTGTAAAAACAATAAACTATGTGCAAAATGTGCATAGGTTTATACAGATTAATTGTCCAAAAAGTACAATGGAGCAACATGCTGTCCACAGACGAGCAAATGAAGGGCTAACAGTCCTAGCCTAGGGCAGCGTTTTACACCCTGACAGCCGCCGGGAGGAAAGACTTGTGGAAACGTTCCCTTGAACACCGTAGCTGGAGCAGCCTGTTACTAAAAGTGCTCCGCTGCCCAGTACCATGAAGTGGATGAGAGGCGTTAATCATGATGGCTGTGAGCTTGGTCAGCATTCTCCTCTTAGCCACCACCTCCAGCGGGTCAAGGCTCAGCCCCAACACAGAGCCTGCCTTCTTGATAAGTGTATTGAGCCGATTTGCATCTCTTGTCATGATGATGCTGCCCCAGCACACAACATCGTAGAAGATGGCCGCTGCCACCACTGATTCATAAAAAATGTGTAGCAGTGTTCCACACACACCAAAGGACCTGAGCCTCCTAAGAAAATAGAGTCGGCTCTGACCTTTCTTGTACAGGGCGTTAGTGTTACCAGACCACTCCAGCTTATCATCCAGGTGTACCCCTAAGTACTTGTAGGACTGTATCCCCTCTATGTCCTCACCCTGGATGGAAACAGGGTTCAGCGGAGACCTATTCCTTCGGAAGTCCAAGATCATTTCTTTGGTCTTGCTGGTCTTGCTGGTATTAAGCTGGTATTAAGCTGGAGATGGTTAAGATGACACCACTCCACAAAGGTGGTAATCAAGCTCCTATATTCCTCCTCCCTCCCCTCTCTAATACACCCCACAATTGCAGAGTCATCCAAAAACTTCTGCAGATGACATGCCTCAGAGTTGTACCTGAAGTCAGAAGTGTAAAAGGTGAACAGGAATGGAGCAAGGACAGTCCCCTGTGGGGCCCCAGTACTGCTAACAACCTGTTCGGACACACAGCTCTGTAGCCGTACATACTGTGGCCTGCAGGTCAGATAGTCTATAATCCAGGACACCAAGGGAGTGTCCACCTG